ACAAGTTAGTTTTTAAAAACATGTAAGATATTAAAATATAGCTCAACATCAGAATGATTAAAGCTTAACACATTTCATTCTTATTATTTTTTCATATTTGAAAAATTAAAAAATGAATATTCTTGATTTAAGAAAATAAATAAATAATAAAAACAACTTATATCTAAAAAAATAAAAATAAATTATATTAAAAAAACAAAAAATTCCAGTGTGGACGCAACGAGGTTAGAATCTATTTCATTATTAAGGGTTTTGCATATATAATTATGATCACCGGTCACAACTACTCTGATACCAATCCAACTTTCAATAGGAAGATGAGAGTACGTAAATCTCATCAACTGTGTGAGTTAGGTTAACATAGGATTTTATATGACACTTAATATTTGATTCAAGTGAGATAAACTCTATAAATACGATACCGTTTTTTCTGATTATTGAGGTCGAATTCGAACCAAATATTGTAAAACTGGATTCATTTGGCAAAAGAATTAGTAGGATTTTAATGTTTTCAGAAATACAATTTTTTTTATCTCAGAAATGTGTCTTCTTGTTCATAGAAGTTCATGTTTGAACTTACACTAAAAACCAATACCAAGTAGACCAAATTAGACTCCGAGTGAGTAATAACCACACCAACTATATAATTTAAAAGCAAATCCTACTTAATCTCTTGTAAAAAACAAATATGGAATAACTTTAAAATTCAACGAGTAGTAATAAGACATCATTATAAAAAATAACAAAAAAAAATTGACAACTTTGTGTATGTGTGTGTATTTTCAAATTACTTGGAAAGAACACAAACAATAACTCCTCTTAATCAACCACGTTCACAACAACCAATCAATCACTAATCGAATACCTAAAAACAACACTTTTCCACATTATAGAAAATAAACGTTATTATATGCTAGTTAATGCAAATAAAGTAAATACTAGTACTAATTAGATTTAATTATTTGTAGAGCTCCATTAATTTATTTTTTTGTTGTCAACTAATTCACTTTAAACCAATTTATGTTCATATATACAAAATTAATAGAGAGTAGTAGACTAGTAGGCAGGGAAACCAGAGATATATCAGACCAACGTCACTTACTCATAGTTTTCCTTCTCTTCTGATCTTTCATTCATTCATCTTTTTTTTTTTTTGAAAGTTCAATTTCCCTCTCAAATCTCTCACATTTCTTCCAAAAAATAAAAATGGTTCTCTCCAAGATCCTATCTTTCTTGCTAACGACAATGCTGATTGGATCCGCCATGATCCAGTGTAGCGTAACCTACGATAAGAAAGCAATCGTCATTAATGGCCACCGTAGAATCCTTCTCTCCGGTTCCATTCATTACCCAAGAAGCACCCCTGAGGTACGAATCACTCAATGGATTCTGAGAAAGTTTGTTTTTTTTTCTTTCTTTTGATCTTTGTGTTTCTTGTAGATGTGGGAAGATCTCATAAAGAAGGCTAAAGATGGAGGCTTGGATGTTATTGACACTTATGTTTTCTGGAATGGTCATGAACCCTCTCCTGGAACTGTAAGAAAAAACTCTTCTTTTCTTCTTCTTCTTACTAAATCTCAATTAAAGTTTGAAGCTTTATGAGATTAGATTTGATGGGTTTTTTTTTAATTGTTAAATCCCAATTAAAGTTTGAAGCTTATATGGAATTAGAGTTGAAAAAATTGGTGGGTTTTGTTTTGTTTTGTTTGCAGTACAATTTCAAAGGGAGATACGATTTGGTACGATTCATTAAGACTGTACAAGAAGTGGGGCTTTATGTTCATCTCAGAATCGGTCCTTACGTTTGTGCAGAATGGAATTTTGGGTAAATGTTTTCAATAAATGAAAGAAACAACAAAAATTCAATTTTTATTTATTGCTTCTTGTCTTACTGTTCGGAATTTTTGAATTTTGAAATTTTTTTCTTTCTCCCTTGAAAAATCGTGTAGAGGGTTTCCTGTTTGGTTGAAGTATGTACCTGGGATTAGCTTCAGAACAGATAATGGACCTTTCAAGGTAAATGAATCTTTGATGTTTTTGCTCCGTTATATTTTGGATACATTAGTGTTAACATTTGTGTGTGTTGTTGTTAAGGCTGCGATGCAAGGTTTCACGCAGAAGATTGTTCAGATGATGAAAGACCATCGATTCTTTGCGTCACAAGGTGGACCTATCATCTTATCTCAGGTATATACAAATTCTCACAAAACACTTGTTAAAAATGTTTGATATTTTGAAGTTATATGCTTCAAAGATTTGATCTTTTTTTGAAATGTAGATTGAGAATGAGTTTGGACCAGAGCTTAAAGCGCTTGGACCGGCTGGTCACTCATACGTTAACTGGGCTGCGAAAATGGCAGTCGGTTTAAACACTGGAGTTCCATGGGTGATGTGCAAGGAAGATGATGCACCTGACCCAATTGTGAGACCAATCTTCTAAAGTCTGTGTGAGATTAAAAAATAAGACTTATGTTCTAATCTCTTGTGATTCTTGTTTGTAGATAAACGCTTGCAACGGATTCTACTGCGATTATTTTACTCCCAATAAACCATACAAGCCAACGATGTGGACAGAAGCATGGAGTGGCTGGTAAAAAGAAGAATACTTTTTACCTGCTAGAATATAATCTTGTGAGAGACACACAAAATGTGTGTATTGATTGCTTTTTGTTTGGATGGCGAAAAAGGTTCACAGAGTTTGGTGGAACCATTCCAAAACGACCTGTAGAAGATCTAGCATTTGGAGTTGCCCGGTTTATACAAAAGGGCGGATCGTATATCAACTACTACATGGTAATGTCCTTGTACACACCTTATGAAAAACTGTTTTGGTTTCAGATTCGGTTTCAGTTTCATCCTGATGCTTGTTGGTGTGTGGTTATGTGACAGTACCATGGAGGAACAAACTTTGGACGAACAGCAGGAGGTCCATTTATCACCACTAGTTACGACTATGATGCTCCCATAGATGAATACGGTACGGTTTATCTTACAGCCTGTTGTGCAAAATGTTGTTTCTCTTTTACATTTTACTGAACTCGGTTTGTTCAATGATGTAGGGTTGGTCCAAGAGCCCAAGTACAGCCATCTTAAGCAGCTTCACCAGGCAATTAAGCAATGTGAAGCTGCATTAGTTTCCTCTGATCCAAAAGTTACTAAACTAGGAAACTACGAGCAAGCTCATGTGTTTTCTGCCGGTAAAGGAAGTTGTGTAGCTTTCTTAACGAACTATCACATGAATGCACCTGCAAAAGTAGTGTTCAATAACCGGCACTATACTCTACCTGCTTGGTCCATCAGCATTCTTCCAGATTGCAGAAACGTTGTTTTCAACACTGCGACGGTAAGTAGAAAGAGTTTTTGTTTTGATGGGAAAAGTCTTCGAATTGCATCATGAAGAAGCTAATTATGAAGTTGTAAGACAGGTTGGTGCAAAGACATCACATGTGCAAATGGTGCCATCTGGCTCCATCTTGTACTCGGTAGGTAGATACGATGAAGATATTGCTACTTATGGAGACCGAGGGACAATCACAGCTCTTGGATTGTTGGAGCAGATTAATGTTACACGTGATACAAGTGATTACCTTTGGTACATAACCAAGTACGTTTTGAATCTCCAATCTTTGCTTGTGAAACATGATGTGTTCTTGGAAAATGAATCGGTTGTTTCTCGTGGTTTCCAGTGTCGATATTACGGCATCAGAATCGTTCTTGCGTGGAGGAAAATGGCCCACTCTTGCGGTGGATTCTGCAGGGCATGCTGTTCATGTATTTGTTAATGGACACTTTTACGGTAACAATCATTCTTTTGCTAACTAAAACTCCTAAGAAAGCAACTGTTTAATCAAATGTAACGACGCAGGATCCGCCTTTGGGACAAGAGAAAACAGAAAGTTTTCATTTAGCGCACCGGTCAATCTACGAGCTGGAGCCAACAGAATCGCGCTACTGAGCATAGCAGTTGGCTTGCCGGTTAGTTACAAACATGAACACACTGGCCTTAGTCTTAAGCATCTTGTTGCAGACTCAGAACATAGTGTTTCTTTTTCTTTGTGTGATTTTGAAGAATGTTGGACTACATTTTGAGACGTGGGCCACGGGAATCGTCGGGTCTGTCGCGCTTCACGGCCTTGACAAGGGTAACAAAGACTTGAGTCGGCAGAAATGGACATATCAGGTGAGATGTAAAGACAAGAAGAAGAAACCCTCATAGATTCACCCATTTAACTACTGAAACTTAACAGTATTTTCACCTTTTCGTGTGATTAAACAGGTTGGTCTGCGAGGTGAAGCATTGAACTTGATCTCTCCTACTGAAGCTTCCTCTGGTGATTGGATCAAAGGCTCATTGGCTAAGCAAAACAGACAACCTTTGACATGGTATAAGGTAAAAAAATAAAAGACTGAATTTTCCAAACAAAATTATAACTCTATTCCCCAATGATCAACAAAGAACAAATCAAGAACCCTAGGATATAGCTAAGGCTTGACCAGCTGATAAATTGTTCAAGTAGGCTCACTATGTCTTTGCTTATCTCATTCGCAGGCCTTCTTTGACGCGCCTAGGGGGAACAAGCCTTTGGCTTTGGATCTGAAGAGTATGGGGAAAGGGCAAGCTTGGATAAACGGGCAAAGCATAGGGAGGTACTGGATGGCTTATGCCAAAGGAAACTGTGGTAAGTGTAACTACGCAGGAACATACAGGCAAACCAAATGCCAATCTGGTTGTGGCGAACCGACACAAAGATGGTAAATATAACACTTGCTTTGTCTCTTAAAACCTATATTTTCGAGCTCTCTTCTCGTGTTTAAAAACAGAGTCTTTTTGTTTCGTTTATAGGTACCATGTTCCGCGTTCGTGGTTGAAGCCAAGAGGGAACTTATTAGTGCTCTTTGAAGAACTTGGTGGAGATATATCCAAAGTCTCTGTTGTAAAGAGATTAGTAAACTAAAACTCAAACTTGTGTGCATTACACAAAAGCATTACTCATGCTATATTGTTGAATCGAATCGAGATAGTTTATATAATGCAATCACCTTTATTTCATAAGGGCAAACAAAAGATTAAAACTTTGTAAGCAAGGATTAGAAATTTTGGAAATTTCAAGCAGAAGCAACAAGACCACCATGCTTAATCAATGCCTGATCGATTTCCTCTTTCCTTGCGCCAACGACACGATCAACGATCTCGCCTTGTTTCATGAAGAGAAAGGTCGGCATTGCCTCGACTTTGAATTCTTTAGCAACGGATTGCAATTCGTCGACATCGATCTTGAAGAAGATGACGTTGAGGAACCTCTTAGCCATGTCTAGAAAGTGTGGTGCAATGAAACGACAAGGTGGACACCATGTAGCAGTGAAGTCTATCACGATCTGTTTTTTTTTCAATCAAATTTGGAGATCGAAATCAGATTTGAATATCAATAAGTTAAAACTAATCAAAAACCTTAATACATAATAAAATGAATTTTTAAGATCAAAATCAGATTTTGAATATTAAAAAGTTAAAAACTAATTAAAAACCCTAAAACCCTTTATAAAAAAGTCAAATTTTGAGATCAAAATCTTGAATATCAATAAGCTAAACTAGTCAAAAGCCCTCAAAAACCCTTTAAAAATAAAAGTCAAGAATGGAAGAAAGTTACAAGTTTTTGGGATTCATTAGCGGCTTTGATCTTCTCGTTCCAGACTTCGAGGGTGTGGCAAGCGATGACTTCTCCTTCTCCGGCCATTTTTTTTAGGATTTTTAAGTTTTGTATTTGTTTGATGATTTTTGATGAATGAATGAAGAACTATAATGGTGGAGTCGTCTTTTTATAGAAAAGGAGGGAGTCTATTCTCGGTCTTTTAATTTAGAGAATTGATTATTATTTCCAAAAATATGTTATTTAAAGGGATTAAAAAAGGAACATTAGTTTTTTGTTTAAGGAAATGTGAACGGATACTGCGGTTGATATTATAGGAAATCTAGGTCAATGTGATGCTCTTCAACGTCGAGAACAAACTCCTTGAGTTGAAGAAGTTCTAGATGGTGACCGCTAGACCGATTCGGATATTCGGTTTAATTTCGGAAAGGAACCGATCAATTTCAGGTATTTCAGATAGGAAGGTTTTGGATCTACCGAAAATAATTTTAGCGCGTGGATCTTACTCGTCAAATTTTTCTCTCTCTCAACCTCTTTCTAGTTCTCAGAAGTCTGAGGTCTTCTCCGGCCTTTGGCGTTCATTGCCATGTTGTAAGGAGGCCTCCTCTGGTTTGTTAGTTACTCCAGCTTGTGCTTCAGAGATCCAGGGGTAAGCGTGTGGATAGCTCCTGATGGCATGAACGGTGGTTGGGATACTTAGATTCGACAGAGGTGAGTTCTATTCTTCAGTTCTACAACCGCGTGAGGACAGCAGTGGGTGACGAGATCGAGAATTCAAAGAAGAAGAAAAGTAGTTTTTCGCCGCCGTAAAGCCATCGACGGAGCTTTGTGAGTGATGTAGTACAAGGTGAAGGAATAAGTTTTATCCTTAATAAAAACAAATTAAAGTCAGCTAATCAGTTGTAGTATTTAGGGATCGAATCCACAGAAATTTTGTGTGCCTAGTATTTTTCCATGGTTTCTAAGTTTATGTTTAGACTAAATTGGTTTTAAAGGGGTTATTGTTTGTCACGGATAAAGAAAGCAAATGAAACTATCCTAAATAACAAGTAAAAAATCAAATGAAAGCAAATGAAAGCAAATGAAACAAGCAGAAAATCAAACTAAGACAAATAAAATGCAGATCTAAAAAAGCAAGTAAATATCGATTGGTTTGTAAACAGTGATTAAAAAACGCTGGGCTTTCGAAAACTCTACAGGGATCATAATCGGTTTCAATACTAGGGATTTTAGATTGGAACTGACGGATATCGAAATATTAGGGTTCTAGAGCTAGAGTTCGACAGTATGACTACTGTCACCGTCATGATTATAACCAACTGTTTCTCGCAACCCTGACCAGTAGGTTTCCACTCTGGCCCTGGAAGGGAGAAAACGCAAGAGCTGCACAGGACTCGTCAGTACTCACGATTTTGCCGCAGGTAGGTTTCCACTCCTACAGAAAAATCGCATGTTTCATTGTAGGTCGGATACTTAATGAAAACTTTCGCAACACTAACTATCTAAATCAGATACGAGGTGATCAATCAAGCATACATGCATTAAAGATGAGAATAAACAGAGAACTTAGTTAAAATCCCAGATCTAAAAACCTAGATGTCTTAATCGATTAAGAGAGCCCCTTTCGAGAACCCTATGCCCAACTTGGGATCTACTCAGCCATGGATGAGATCGACATCATCATTGGTTTTGATGAAGGCAATCAGAAACAGTAAAGAAAAGAGATGAAAGAAAACTTCTCTATTGATGAACTCAAAGTTGAAGAATCCTCTCTAAAAATCGCATAAAACGGCTGAAAAAGGGGTTTCTGTAAAAGTATGAAAAGTGATATCTAAAAACGACTTAAATGACAAGTATTTATAGTCTTCAATACTCCAAGGTCTCTAGGGTTCCGGAATTGAGGCTGGAGAATGACTTGGGCTTCAGAAATGGGTTTTTTTAAGTCGGAGATGTCTGGCCACGGTCGCGTGAGGTGTGACCGTAGGGAATGAAGGCTTGGCTGCGGTCACGTGGCTCTGGCCGCGGTTGCGTGGCTTGCTGGCCGTCTTTGAATGTCTCCAGGGCAAATGAAATATCTTGAGATCCAACCGTTGGAATGTCTCCAAACCAAGTGCATTTGAAAACTGGTTGAGTATTCTATTAATTGTCCAATTTGAGGGTGATCAGACGGTGAGAAGGTCTTCGTCTTTCCATGAGAGTTCTGACGGTTTGAATTTATCCAAAAGAGTCTTTTTGTTCCAATTTGCACCTCTTTATCCCAAATTACCTGAAAGTCTTTTAAAATCCGAAAACATATAAATCATTTGAAAACCTTTGAAAATGGAGTAACAACACCTGCAAAAGATATTAAAGTGATCCATAAAAATAGTCAAAATATGGTGTTATCAACTTTCCCGGACTTAGACTTTTGTTTGTCCTCAAAAACAAAGACCAAATCTCGGTGAGAGGTTTGAAAACTCAGGAACTAACAAAATCTCAGAGACCAAACTTCTAGACTAATATCGATCATTATGTATCAATTGGAGATAGCCTAGAAAATTCTCACTAAAAATACGGGCATAACTAATCCGTTAATCCGTCATGCGGAAATCTATTGCACTTAGATTTAACTTCTTGTCAACTAGCTCTTAACATTCATTCAAAATTTCGGTGGTTCTCATTGAAGAAAGTATAAGCAAGGCGATCTAGACTAGGTATCAAAAGGGGTCATTTTAGGGGTAAAGCTTAAAGTGTTTATGGGTTACCTGAAGATATGGAGGATGCAAGATATTATGCAAAACGACATGAGAGAGTGAAACTGTTGATATCCACAGTTCCCAGTCACTTTCGTCTTGCCATAAATTTCTGGTCTTCTTTCTCAGGTTCTCTCTTAACTCCCCCAGACTTATATTTTTGTCTATCTTTCAAAACCATAGCTCCATAGATGAATAGTGGTTGCCTTTTCTCTAAATAATTTCGACAATCTAAAACTCATTAGGCTTTTTTTTTCCTTTCCTTTTATTTATTTATTTATTTTGAAAGGGGAAACACATTTAGATATAAAGTCATAGAGAACATGAAATTACCAATAAGAATGAGTTCTCTGAGGCAATATAAAGCTTGATAAGGTTTCTGGTACTCTTCCTTCCTAATTCCATTCAGTCTTTCTCTTGAGTGACTGAAAACTGCGTCGTTGCTCTTCTCTCCGACGTTTTTGCACATATCTGCTGGCATAAGCTAAAGAGAGAATGCGTGAGGTTTGAAAACAAAGGGTTTGAGTTTAGGGTTTGGTACCAGATAAAGATGAACTGGCCATCTAGGACGACAAAAAGTGGTAAAAATGAGGAAAAAGACGTTCTAGATGTATATCTCGATGCCTGCCAATAATCAATGATGAGAAAATTAGATATCAATATTAAGGTAAAATAAAATGAGCTAGTATATTCTGTCAGAAAAAATCTCCATGAATAGAACTCCTCTGGTGGGAGTTCGTAGTGCAAGTACGTTAGCTACCGCCTAGTCTAGTGCTTACCACAAATGAGCTATCGTGCGTAGTGTAGAAGCATGCAGGTCTAAATCATCATAGTTTTGTGTAAAACATTCCTGAAAATTACTAAAGTCGCATAGGTTACATATTAAAAATTTAAAAGTACTTGAAATTTAAAAACAAAGCAAGAAAATGATTAGTACGGATAGACATCTTCCCCCAGACTTAAATCACACTGTCCCTAGTGTGAAAAAGTTGGTGAGAAAATGGTGAATAAAAGCGAGATAGTCTAAAAAAAAAAAAAAAAAAAAGAAAATGATGATAGAACCGTGATGGTGGGGCAATGATGATGAAGTGCTGATCAATCACTTTTCCTCCGATGTGTCTGCCTCGAATTGGTGCTGCTCCTGCAGGAAGGTGACGACGCGCTCAAAACGTCATCTCTGTCTCTCAACTCTGCGCTTCAGGTCAGACTGTGTGCGTGATGATGTAGATGATGAAGTATGATCGGTGGAAACATATGGGTGATAGTAAGCACGTGCTGCAGCTGCGTCGCGTTTCACCTTAGCCACTATGTATTGCCCGATAGTGAGTGGCAGACGAGGTACAGAATATAGAAACTCATCAGGTCCCGGTGTCCATCGTGGGTGTGCTCCTTTACACAGTCTCGAGACTGATGCTGAAGGTAAGCAAACTCGGTGCTCCTCGGTGCTAGTGCAATACTTGTAACCAAACCTGTCTGGATCGAAAATGGCACGAGAGATAGTGTGATCGCGAGAGAGATAGAGTAGGTCATACCAGACGTCGGGAAGTGGATCATCAGATGAGAAATCAAATCCTACAGCCTGTAGTACTGCTGTAATAGCGCTCCCATATGCAGTAGTAGCATCCTCACATCCATGTAAATCATGCTTCACCTTCACTATTTTCTGTGCGATGATCCAGGCAAAGCAGGCAAGTCGAGGGTTGTCCATAAATGGTGTCTGAAGTGTAATGAGCTCAGTCTTTAGGACACATCCCATATTGGCTCTAGAGAAAATCATGTGTGGTAAGAGTTTGTGCACAACTCTTACTGCAGAATGAGTAAGAAGGGCTGACTTGGATCTCCCGCTGTCATGAACGCCATGGCCCATCTCTCTCCATAAGTCAAAATCAGGTTCTTATTCGATGAGTAAGAAGGGCTGACTTGGGCTCCTCCTCTTCGTGTGGTGAAGGGTGACGGTTGCTAAGAACTCGCGAACTAGCTCGGCATAAGTTGGAAGATTCAGCTCCATGTAGGGTCTCAACCTAAGTGCATCGATGTAGCAGATGACGTCTTATATAATCCTAAACATCTCGAGTCTATAATAATTGATAACACCTGATTTTGACCATTTTTATGGATCACTTTCAGTATCTTATGCTGGTGTTTTACTCAGTTTTAAAGGTTTTATAAGTGTTTTCCATGTTTTGGAGTTTTAAAAGGCTTTTCAGGAAACTTGGGACTTTGGAGTGCATTTTGGAGCAAAAGTACATTTTTGGATAAATTCAGACCATCAGAAGTTTGGCAACCAATGAAGACCTTCTCCCGTCTGATCATCCACGAATTCGAAGACATTATAGAGGAAACAACCAGCTTTCCAACACACTTGGAATCAAAACAATCCAACGGTTAGGTCTCCAGATATCATTAATGCACTAAAGACCAATCAACACAAGTCCAGTCAAGCACAAGTGCTTTCACCCGCGGC